TTTCAATGAATGAGAGTGGCTTTGAGTTAACTTTTTCATTGGGAGTACCTTAGTACAGTTAGGAAGTGTACCTAGTCGTGACGAGTTCTATGTGAACTTAAAATAGTATTGTGACAACTTTTGGGTAAATTATATGTTAGAATAAGATCATTTCGGTGGATAGTGCTATATGAATTTGTAATTATAGCATTTTGTTGTGTAGCTGATTTTATTTCCTGAATGAAGCATGTGTTGGCTTATGAGTCTTGACTTGATTTAAAAACATTTGTTAAAAGAAAGAGTTATATGGTTCAATTAGTGCATGGTTGGGAGGAGGTTGAAAGCTTCGGATGGTATGAGATTAATTTGAGTACTTAGAAGATTGTGAAAGTGCTTGGAAGGGGTGTGAGGGCTGTGTTTTGTAATGACGAGGAAGTGGTAAAGTTTTGCCGAGAGATGGTAGTCATGTGTGGGTGCAAAGGAGTATGGAATTTAAGTAGTGAGCGTCATGATCAAGAGTTGTGTGGAGTTTATGAATGTGAAGGGAACTTAGTGGTTGGGTACTAAGGCCAAGTTTGGGAAGACTAAATAAGTGCACTTTTTGTCTTTTTGGACTAAAAAATTGAGATCGAAAATATGGATGTTTGGGTTAACTTTTTGACTTTTTATGGAAAAATGTGTAATAAAAAATTGTAAAAATTGGTTTGTAGAGGAAAATTTGAATTGGGAGTTGTGCAGCCGTAATTGTTGGCTTTTGGTGAATAGTGTTAACTTTTTAACTTTTTGAGTAACTTTTTGGCTTTTTGACTTATTTGGGACTTCCCAAACTTAGCCTAAAAGTGTTTCTTGGGAGGAAATATGGACTGTGTTTTGATTGATGGGTGGTCGGATGGTTGATATTTGGATTGGGTGACAAATAGTCACTTTAGTGGTTTGGCGCTGAGCTGTGAGATTTGGTTTTAGGGAGTCCAACTTGGACTCAGGTATGAAGTGGGTGTGTGTTGAAACCTGGATCGGGGTGATACGTGTTGGTTAGTCTGTCGATGTTTGAATTGTGAGAGTAGAGAATCGATGAGTGGATTAAGTCATGTAGAGCAGATGGATCCTTGTGGCCGATCCCTTTTAAAGGGACTCAAGACTTGGTTTGATTTGGTTTGGTTGCTTGGTTTGGTTTGGAATCGGTGGTCAGGATGCGTGGTATTCGAAGTTTATTGACATCTAGTCATCTTGGGAATTGATTCAGTTTGAGTAAAACGTGGTACGGTTGGGTGGTACTTAGGTAGTACTGGAGGGCATTGAGCTTCGCTTGTGTGTGTATGTTGTTGATATGAACCTGTGAAATGACTCAAATTGAATCAAAGTGTTTGAATGTAGATTATTGTAATCACACTTGTGCCAATGTGTACTATCGATTGTTGGTGATGATGTTTGTAGTGATTGGGAACTTCCAACTTACGGGAAGTCGTATGTGCTGTGTTATCCCTCGAATGCGCTGTTATTATTGTTTCTATTCATTGTTATTACAGATGTGTGTGGTAAATGGGTTATAACATCACCGGGTGGGTGATGGAGGTTGTTGGGTGATGGTTGGGATTCACCGAATGAATGTTGAGAATGGTTTGGAAAATGAAAATTTCTTTTCCTTGTGTTGTGGCCTAGGATGGCATAGTTAAATTAATGTCGAAGATCTAATCTAAGTGGGAATATATATAAAAATGAAAAGATTTTCAAGAGGAATGGAGAATTTTGTTTACAAAATTGCGATTTTTCTCTCTCTTATAATGGGGTTGTATGGAAACTTGGGTTGAATTGCTTGTTGTGTATGTGTATATATATATTGGCATGTTTATTTTGAGGAAATATAATGCGATTGCAGTTGTTGTATCAATTTGTGTTTCGGGCAGTGAGTATAGGGCGTCTTTTCTTTCGCAAGTGTTGTCCAGGTATTGTTTTATGGTGGTTTCCTTTCCCTTCGACATTGGGATTTGGTCACTCCGTGGTCGTCTTTGTGTGGTGTTGTCATTAGGGGAGTAGAATGGTTGGTGTTGTTCCTTGTCTCTTGGATTTTGATGAGTATACTGATAAATTATGATCTCTTTCTCGTGCTTCTTGTTTGGGTGTCTTTGGGGCGCTGAGGTTTTGAGTCTGAATTCAAGAATTTATATCGATTGTGAGTCTAGCTTTTGATTGGTAGTTATGTCTTGCCCTCATAATTGAATAGCTTCTAATTTGACTCTGATTTTATTTCGGGAATATATCCCACGTGTATTAAGTTAGAGGTTGTGTTTCCATCTGTATTGGTTTGTCCTTTGGTTTCAGTCCTTCCCTAATTTCGGGGATGAAATTTCTTAAGGTGGGGAGGTTATAGCACTCAAGAATTTCTTTTCTTTTTCTCGTCACTCGAGCAAAGGAATGTTCGCTCAAGCGGTCTCGCGAAGCTCCCAGTATTTTTGCAGGTCTATGTGAGATTCTGTGAGTTGTCGATGTCCACTCGAGCGGTCTGTCTTGTTGAGTCTGAACTTCTGGGAATCCGTGTTCTTTGCTCGAGTGAAGGATTGGTCACTCGAGCGAAGTGTCCGAATTCAGTATGTTTAAAAGTCACGTTTTGGTCCACTTTTCTTCATTCTCTCTTGTTCTTTCTCTCTCTTCTGACCCTTTTCCACCATTGTTGTGGGTTTCAAGCTTTCAAGCTTGGTTTTCATCTTTGGTACCTGCTAGTTATATCAAAATCCCAATTTAGGTTAGGAGATCTTTAAATAAGTTGGTACAAGGCATGTCATTTTTCATATGTCCTCAAATCTTCTTATTGTTGATTGTCCAGAATGAAAGCTAGTTCTTTCCTGCTTACATCTATCATTGGTGACTTGTTTTCTTCCTTTATTCATGCAATTCACAGGTAAGGAGAACCCAGATCAGTGAAAGAATGAGGAAACTATAATTCCAAACATGGACAAGGTAGGAAGGATAACAACAATGCACACACTTCATCCTATGGTCATAAAACTCATGATCTTTCTGTTTCTTGTAATTGGCAGCAAACAAACACAACATACATGTTAGATTTGGTTGTTGAGTACCAAAAAAAAAAAAAAAAACTACAAAAACAGTACAAGGTATTGAAGAAGAAACCAAATATTGTCTTCATTGGAACTCTCTCTTCTTTTTCTATTTTTTTTCATTGGAACATATCATTGGAACTATTTTTATCTGTGCTTGATCACTGTTTATTTATTTATATTGTTTTCATACACTCAGCGAAAATCAAGCAAACTGCAAGTGTTCAATTAATATGAATATTTGTGTTTTGTCATGGTTTCCTTTGGTCTTGTGTGTATGTTTAAATGGCATTTGGTGCTTTTTATTGATGTATATTAATGGGATCTTAGGCCAAGTTTGGGAAGACTAAATAAGTGCACTTTTTGTCTTTTTGGACTAAAAAATTAAGGTTGAAAATATGGATGTTTGGGTTAACTTTTTGACTTTTTATTGGAAAATGTGTAATAAAAAATTGTAAAAATTGATTTGTAGGGTAAAAATTGGTTTGTAGGGGAAAATTAGGATTGGGAGTTGTGCAGCCGTAATTGTTGACTTTTGGTGAATAGTGTTAACTTTTTAACTTTTTGAGTAACTTTTTGACTTTTTGGCTTTTTTGGAACATCCCAAACTTGGCCTAATATGACATTTTGGGAAACTATTTGAAGGGTGATGGAGCACAATCTGCTGAAGAGAAGTAAAGACATTTCAAGTTAATGAGACACCTCAATTTTAATGAAGAATCTAGTTCTGAACCATATACTCTGACTGCCTAAAGTTGGGATGAGTGCATGCATCTGAAGGTTTTCTCTCTCCCGACTTTAGGGGAGATCTTGGTGCTCTAAATTAAGATAATGCAGTTAATACATGTTCTAAATTAGAATAGTCACCTTTTGGCTGTTGGCCTATATTTTCAGCTATAGGCTCAGGCTCATGCTTAGCAGGAAAGGGCAAAATAAATAAAATAATTCATATTTTTGTGAATAGTTTTTTGTACCTATAACTTTTTTGTCCATTTTTATATTTTTAAAATTTTTGGGTTACACATAAAATTTTAGAAGAAACTAGAAAGGGACCTAATTTTTCATATTGAATGAAACAATGAAGGGTACAGCTAGTTTTCTAAATAGGGCTAACTTCATGATCGTGTGATGACAAAAATTAATGATTTATCATCGACCCGTCAAGCCATATGAGAAGTCACATAAGAAATGAAAAAAATTAGTGAAATATTTACGTGATATGTAACAGCCCTCCAACCATATTTATTTAATTTCATGGAATTTGGAGTTCCCTGCTGTCTGAAATTAAGTAATAATCTTAGATGATCAAATTTTTACAAAGACAAGGCAGTTCACATAACACTGAAAAAGCTAGCCTCTTATGAATATGACAATTTCAACTTTCAATCACCAAATGAGACCAATTGGAAAAATAAAAAATAAATAAAAAGTAATTGTTGATGCCATGTTTTTTAGTTATTCCTCAGGAGGATGACTGCACAAATGCCTCAAACATAACTTGTTTTGAGCTTGCATATGACAATGATATCAATATAACTTAATGCTCTTCAACAACACATTACAACCCAAAGATACAAAGGTTTTGAAGCTAGATTTTCAGAGATCAATTTCAACTCCAAAGACGATTAGACCAAAAATGCTTTATCTTGTTCTGTGTGGTAAAAAAAAAATGCAGTTTCAGTTCATGAGCCTCCTGTCACTATGAGGACTACCAGCACATTCATAAACTATTTAAAAGGCTGTTTTGCTTATAATACAGTCATAATTTTTAAACTTCTGGATGAATAAAGAAATTTTGTACATTCCAGGTTCAAGGATTTCAAAAGAAATTGGTACGTTCCTGCATAGCGCATTAGGATCTTGGTATTGGTGGCGACTTGTATGCACCTATGAGAATAGAGCAAATATTTTTTTGGGAAAACTTGTACAAATGTAGAGAGATCTAAATAAGTAATCTGAAGGATATACCGATCAAACTCATGGTTTCTAAAATGTTACATGTCGTGATACCATAAAATGTGAAAGAAGGTCCACAGACTATGCCAATTGAAACTGAAAAGAGACACAACCCGAGTTGGATAAACACCACATGCCACAACAATATACAAACTAGAAATTTACTATTACAATTTCCATGGAAAAGAGAAAACCCAAGTCTCAATGGCATTATCTATCTAGCTCAAGACTCTTAATGAACTGCTTGAAAAAGAAACTAATATAATAGAGGGTAAAATTAGTACTAAAATAAAGGTGAAGCATCAGAATTAAAAATAAAAAATAAAAAATTACACTATTTTGACGGCTCTCAATTAACCATGAAAACCAAAAAAGCCTTTCCGAACAATACAAAGTAGAACCATGAATGACATACATAGGCAATTGAGCCAAATGCCTCATAGTGGCTGCCAAGACAGCAACTAGTTAAGTTTCTCGATGATGCTGAGCTCCAAAACTTTGGATGATTTCTGCGAGTTTCCTTCCTTCGTGTTTATAACCTTTTGAAAGTTAGTTCTCAAAACATGGTCACTGATATATGGGGAACATTAGTAACGAAAATGAGCCACAAAACCAACCAGAAAAGCTTTTACACTATGGACTCACAGACTTTATGAGAGCTATATATAGACATTAGCTGAGTCCACACGAGATGGATAACTCATTTATTTGGAATTTTAACCAATCAAGAGTAAGATTTTTAATCTTAACTAATCTAACTGACTCAATTTTTAGGTACTCCTTCTGTAGAAGAAAGTTTGTCTGACAATTAAATGGTTCATTTCAGTTTACTGAAGACGAAAAATTACCTTGTGTTAAGGATTGTTTTCAATTCCTACTAGCATACATCAGTTTTGGTTTAGAATTTTTCTCTTTGAACAGTGTTTTGGTTTAGAATTTTCAATACACTACAGTAGCTTAACAAGTGTTAAAAAAAACATGGGAATAAGAATGGATGTTCCATTTCCACGTCATTCAATGTTAGAAACCAACCAGCAGAGTGAGGATGAGTATTTCATTCCACGCCATCTTGCAATCCAATCCCACTCTCATCCATCTTCCAATATTGAATCAGTTCTTTTCATCATCCAAAGCTGAATTGCCATTAACACCACTAAGAACTAAGAGAACCAAGCAGATCCTTGTCGAGGGAAAACTTGAAAATCCACATTTGCCTAACCTAGCAAATCACAATAGTCCTTCACCTTTTAAAGGGAAGTGTAGGCCTCTGATTTCTTTCATCTTTAAGATTAAATCAGCAACTGTATAGCAAGGGATATTTCAATATCCTTTTACCTGAGTTGCAAATTTATCTTTAATTAACTCCAAGGCATTTTCCCAAGAAGCTAAACCATTACTAAAGATAAGGTTATTTCTGGTTTTCCAAATGGTCCAAAAAACTGTCATGGATGATTATAGCCTCCCATAAGAGCTTTTTGACATTCTTGAATTTTATTCCAAACCACCAATCAAGTAAGGCACTAACTGATGAAAAACAAACTCATTCCATTCCCCACCAAGACAAACAATCAACCCAAATTTTCCAAGATCTTCTACGGAGTAACTCATTCGCACAAATATTAACAGAGCCTAGAACAGGATTCATCCAGAGAATTCATTTTAATCAAAAGATCACAAATGGTAATCCTTTTGTGCCGGACTAGCCAAGCAAAATCAACAATTCCAAAGGGGGCAATGCTTTTCCACAAATTCTATTGTAGGAATAATACAACATTGAGATGAGGTAAACAGGTCTTGTAAAGATTTTAGTGAGAAGTTACCTGATGGATCCACTCTCAAAATTAATTGATCCATTGATTGGCGTTAACCTGATCAACCTGTGGCAGCATTTGCAACAACCTATGATGGTCTTCCTCCTCCTCCCATACCAAGAAAATCTGTCTCTATGACATACTCATAATGATGAAATCATTAATGAGACCATCTTTGTTACATCAGACACCCATTTATCAAACAAAAAGAGAAATCTCATTCCATTTCCTAATTTTAGTAGCACATTATTGGGGACATGTTCAGAAAAAACAAAAACAAAAACAAAAAAAACTGCATTATCCTTTAAGAAATAAAATATCCCATCTCTTGTTGTCCCAATTTATCTTTTCACAAATCACTCTTTTCCGAAGGGGATTTGGCTCAGATGCAAACCTGCACCACCACTTAATCAAGAGAGCTTCATTCTTAATTTTTAGATTAGAACTACCCAGAACCATAAATCTATGTAATGAATCTTTCATCATATGAGATTACGCACACTGTAATTATAGTCACAGGGTTAGTGTTCAATGTTTATTGGCTCGATTTGTTTTGACAGAAAGACTCACATTAAACTTATAGTAGGCAGGGCTGAGGAGGCTGTTGAAAGATTATGAAGTATTCTCTAGTTTCCTTTGCCATTTCAGGCACAGAATTACTAATTTATACAGTAACTTTGTTCATATGATTTGAGTTTAGAAGGTGAAATCTTTTCACCCTTCTCTTTTAGAAAAAAAATTCTCTAGGTGGACATCCCCTTGGCAGAACTTGTAAGTCTTAGATACTTGAATCTTTAGTTTGCCTCATCACTTACTCACTCACTCTCTATTGCTGCAAAATGTGAAAATATGCTGACTGCAACTGAAGCCAAATAATACGAATCAAATTTCAACACTCAGATTATTTGATGAACAAAACATCATTTTTTTGGGTAAGTCAATATATACCAAAGATCAAAAGTAAATACATAGTACAAGGAGCATACACGGACAACACAAACATGGGAATCATCTAAGCAAGCAAAAGATGAGGACAATACCGTTTAGTCAATGTAGGCCTCGTTTACATCTGACATGAACATATGTACAACAGACACAACATACAGACCATAAGAAGATGGCAATAGCTGCACAGAAAGGCCAGAAAGCCAAAGCAACAACAATAGTAGCATCAGCATAAAACCTGTCAATTTACGACTGAGCATTTATATGTGACACATGCACAAAAGCAAATAGAGTTTAATAAAAGAAGCAGCACGACCAAAACCAAGGAAACAACAACAACCTAGGAAGCATAGATACGGATACGAGATACGGATATGACACGATACGGATACGGCGATACGACAAAATTTAAAAAAATAGGATACGGGTACGGCTAGGATACGTTTGTGAAAAATATATTTTTTAAAATTATTAATAGTGAGTTACACATAAACTAAAGAACGTTGAGAAACTACAGTGTAATTTTATAATGCAAAATACTATATTTTAAGAATTTTGTATTAATTTAAGCTAGTAGCTTGTTTACTTTTTAAATTTTTAATAGGTCTTGCAAATATTTCATTTCAATATCAAGTTTAATATATTTATATTACAATAATAGAACAATTCACAATTTGTCCCTATGGTTTTTTCCTTTGACACTAGTGAAAAATATTATATTCAAGTTTACTTGCTTATTTATTTATTGATATTTAATTTTACCATTATTATATTCTCTTGTTAATTCTTGCTTTCTATGTAGTTATAGAGGACATGCATGAAATAATTAAGATACATCAATTTGATAAATTCTATTATTTAACTCACTATACTCTTCTTATCGAAGAACTTAACAAAATATTAGAAAAATATTCTTATATTTATACTTGCAATTATATTATATTATATTACTATGCAAGAAATGTTACAATTCTAATTTCATAAAACAAGTAAGCATAACTTGGAGTATCCGATACTTCAAAATTAAGTATCCGATACTCCAAAATTAATGAAAAAATAATTAAGAAGTATCCGATACTTTTAATAAGTATCCGATACGTATCCGCGAGTATCCAAGGAGTATCGGTATCCGATATGGATACGATACGGATACGTCACCCCATTTGAAGTATCCGTGCTTCATAGACAACAACAATACAGAATCATCAAGCCACTTCATATCTAGATTCATCAAACCTTCTTTCGGTCTTCAACAAGATGCAACATTTCTTTAAATCAGATGCAACATTTACTTCACTGGACGCAGCAGAAAATGATTGAAAGAGTTGATACCATCCTTTGGAAGCTCTTTTGGCTTCCCAAGGATAGCAGTAGTTGGGGCAAAGCAGATAAATGAATGTATTGAACCTGTAAATGAAAACGATAACAACAATGACAAAGAATTTTTATTTTTATTTTTATTTTTTTGTGATAAATACAATGACAAACAAATATTTGACAAGCATCTACTGAAACTTAAACCACATGAAACCTAACTAACGTTTAGTTGGCATAGATGACATTTACACCTTGAACAATTTTTACTAAAATCTGAAAACACCGCAGGGGAAAAAATAATAATAATAATAATAAATAAAATAAAAGAGTGGTTTAGCAACAAACTTATGGTGAATTATGACAGCACTAAAATAAATAGTCTATGACTCTTTGACGGGAAGGAAAAAGCATTTCATCATAAAACTACTATTTGCATAAGCTTCTAGTAATGCAGAAATGAGAGCAAGACTAACCATATACTAAAAGAAGTTATTATATGTCACTAAAACATATAGAGATACACAATGCCTAAACATGGTGATATCAAATATGAACAATGGAGTCGGTGTAAGCGAGGAAGCATATAGCCATATCCGTAGCCTACGGTAAAATTTGTAGTTTCTTCGATAGTCATGAGAAGACACAATCTCTAACCAAACCAAATCTCTATCAAATGAAATACAGGCAAAACATCAAGTAAAACCATGTTACATGCTTTGGTGTGATCAATTTTTCAAAAAAAGCTTACAATTTTCATCATTTGTTTAGCCATAAAGATTTAAGTTAAACAGAATTAATAACCAGCTTAAATTTATTAAATTTTGACAAATAAATGTCAACAATGGCCAAAATCATTGCATCACATTGATATATACCAGCTATTTGAAAGGAAGGGCGTGTTCAATAGGTCAATTCTTGGTAGACTCTCAAGATATATAATGGATCAATCGGCTCATTTACTTCATGTGAAGAATTGCTATTAATGAAAGCCGTATAAGGGAGGTGTGAGGTAGGACTACAGAAAATAAACATTGGTACAAAAGAAAACAAACACTTTGTACAACCAACACGATGAAACAATATTTGTGCAATCCATACTTTGATCCTTTTTTCATTTGAAAAAATTCGTTTTAGTTGTACATGCATAACCACAAGTATGCCCAATATAGTGGCATGTGTGTGATGCAAGCATAAGGTGTTGCACTTTACATATCCCAATGTTGATGTAAGAGTAGAGTTTGAAGCAGAATCCATTTCAAAAGCTACACATACAAAAGAGAACATGCTCATCTCCTTTTAGACTTCAATGAACAAAATGAAAATCATGTCACAAACCATTATTTGATGAGTCTACCAAATAAATGAGGTCAGATTTTAAAAACTTGACAAACCTCACTCATGTTCTACTTCATCAGTTCAAAATCATAGGTGGAAACAATTTTACAAAAATAAAATAAAGAAAGAATATATATTTGAGATACAGAGTCAGATTTGATAATGCTTACATTCAGCTTTGGAAGAGCAGAAAAAAAGAAATAGAACTTCAAATTAAAGAACCCTTAAACCACACTGTCATCCATAGACATCACCACTTAAGCAGAAAAATTGCTGAAAATTGAAAAGTAATTGGGTTAGTGACTGCCACAAAACGGAGATCAAACAACATATGTAGACGAAGCACAAAGACATCAATGATTCATGGTGAAAATACATAAATTCAAGGTAAGTAATCGATGCTCCGACCCAAAAATTAAAAAAGAAAAAGAAATATACGGTTGATTATTGTGACTGGGCATGTGATCCTAATTATGTCTGGGCTGTTAAAGTCAGAAAAAAAATTACCATTCTGCAATATGATTTTTATTTTATTTTTTTTATCAGAAAACAAAAAGAGTTTATGAATAATAATGTGAATCATTACAATCAATAAATAAACACTGGGAAGGGATAATAAAGAACAGAAAAAAAAAAAAAAAAAAAAAAAAAAAAAAAAAAACAGGCAGCATACAAAACCACCTTAAATTCCGAACATAGACCCCAAATCCCTCTACGAAGAAGAATACAGTAGTTGGTTGGCAAGAGACCAACAGTGAGAACACTTGAAATGGAATTCTCTTGTTTTTCAATAGAAATTAATTTGGCCTCTTCATCTTCAACCTTCATCAAGTTAGAGCATCTCCGACCCTTCACCAATTTTTTCATCTACATTGACTCCAAATTTGAATAAAAAGTTTGATTTATTATGAAATACTTCAATCCTTACATCAAAATCTTTTAAAAAATTCCTCTCTTATCCCAATTTTTTCTTTTCATCAAATTTGATGAAAAAAAAAAAAAAAAATTCATCTCAAATGCTTCATCTTTTTTTAATTTTTTTCAATTTCAACCCTTCAAATTTTTTTTTTTTTTTTTTTGTGATTTTTTACATTTAAAAGGGAAAACTGTTATGATAAAAAATAAAAATAAAATAAAAAAACATAGCCCAACCTCCCCATATATATATATATATATATACACACTATAAGTAATACACAGGCTCAATTGTGATGAGATGAGGAGATTGTGACACTGTTAGCATTGATAAAAAATAATAAAATAATAATTTTGATATATTTAGTTTGGGTGATTTTTGAGGACTGAGTACCTGGTACTTTTGATTGCTCATATTGCAATTTATTCCTCTACCTCCTCTCTACTTCAAAGATGTATATGTCGTCTATGAAGACTGCAAGAATGGGAGTGATGAAGAGATTTCAAACATACCGCTCGAGCGAAACACTTCATTAGCGGTAAATACAATATCCCAGAAGTTTTGCAGGTCTACAATGAAAGTACTGGGAGCCTCACATCTACGCTCAAGTGAAGACTTGACTGCTCGAACGGTCTCGCCTGTAAACAGGCAAGATACTGGGAGCCTCGAATCACCGCTCGAGCAACCACTTAATCGCTCGAGCAGTCTCCCAGAACAGAATGTTACAACCTTTCCCCCTTATTCGTGATTCCTGTCAACAACAAAACCCAAAACCCAACAACTCAATGACGTTCAACACCATACTAACAATAACCACAACCATCAATAATGGAGGTCCGATAAATAATGTTTTAAGTAGCATAGCTGCATAGGTACTACAATAGATGAGCTCTATCCGTATCCAACATGTCAATACTGATACTTTCAAGAGAATAACCTTTCTCAAACTGTGGGTAGTGGGTTGGGTTGGGTTGGGGTAGGTTGGGTTGGGGGGTGGATCGGCGGATAAATTGCACACCCATAATCCCAGGTTTGTTCTTCTGTCCTTCTTCATTTTTCTTCTTCCTACATCATTACTCACTTTGTCTTGAGAATGAATTCAAGTATTACTAACTTATTAAGATTTAGCATGTCATCCTTTAAAGGATGAATGGATTGGGACTTAGGAAACTGAGGTTTTTGAACAAAGCATTTTAGAAAATGGCTAGGGAGATATGCTGAGGAAAATAAGGGTAGTGTAAAATAAGGAATACTGTGAGGGCTAATAAAATTTGTACAAGTCTTTTGGGGTGAAATTATGGAAGAACTAAAGGAATGGCTGAGAAGAATTCTCCAAACATAATTACTTTTCGGTAGCAAATTTGCAAAGATGAGATTTCATGATGACTACTGTATGGTAGCAAGCTCCACAAACTAATAGTTCCAAATCTCTTCAAAATCACATCATATAAGGAAGCCATGATACCAGGCAATGTTAGTGGAGTAGATGGTATAGTGGTTTGGCCCAATTCTATAGGGCCTTTCAAGAATGAGACGTTGACATGGTGGAAACATCGCCATGCTTTATCCCACTCTAGTAGATACCAAAGGGGTAGAAGGCTTACTTTGTGGCAAGAAGTCACAAAAGCGTAAAAATTTTAAGGTTCGATTCTATTCTAGTAATATTCCTAGCCAATAATCGACCAAGGCCTTCCTAAAGTGTCCCTTCTCTTTTTCCCTTGATAGATATCAACATTGGAAAGAATTATGATCTTGATAATTTGGTGAAATGAGAAAATGTTCAAAGGAAATCCAAAAAAAGTTAATAATCTATTGGCTAAAGCCTAAACGCTTCTTTCGTTTTCATTATTTAGGATATACCTTACTAGAGCTGACAACTCAGAGTGGTCGTCAAGTGAGGATAAGAGTTAAACATTGATGGATGGTGGGCTCCTATTAGTGGCATGCCCTAAAAGCCCCTTGTCATTTAATTAATAAAGGGAAAAGTTTTATTTTATCATACTATCCTTTTTGTGCTATTGTTTACATTGTAATACAATTAAAGTTCAGAATTTATGTCTTAAGAGTTAAAATTGAGAGACATGTACTTCTCAGTATTTTATTCTTAAAAGTTCCTAGTTATACGATTACTATTTGGATGTTAGTAATCCAAACCAAATGGACTAGCACGTGTTATGCTTGTTCAATTGGAAAAGGGAGTAGTCTCAAGTCACTTGTGTGGGACAATCAAACAACCATGTGTGTGTTTTTTAGAGAACAAGTGACCACCCAGGAACATATCTAGTTCGCTCATATGTTATAGTTGTGTGTGCAATCCTTAGACTGAGAACATCATGATTATCCTGTGTGTGCATTGCTAAGTTTTGACAATACAATATGTTTATATTCTAACAACGAAATATGAACCTGTATTGATAGGGCTTAGTGAGACACACATGGAGGCACGTGAATGTTTAAGAATTGATCCATCTCTCAAGTAAAGAGATAGAATATATGTGATCTTTTAGGATATAAGTCGAGAAATACCTTGGTCAAGGCAAAGTAATAATTAGAAAGGAGTTTCTAATTTCACCAATACAAGTTGATATGCATTAGATTAGATATATGACTGAGTTAGGGATTTGACAAACCTCAATGTCCTAATGACCTTTTGAGACATTATACGATGAATGGATTGAATGTATAGTAACTGTTAGAAGGGCTCATTTTGTATGTTCATAATAGTATGTTGCTTGGTGACACTCAAGATTTGTGGAAGCCCAAGGAAATGTTCCATGGGACATTTAAAATTCATAATAAATATCAAGAATTTATATTATTTCTACTACACAGATAAGTGTGAACCAAAAATTTCATACACAGTAAGGACAACATGTAACATAATGGAATGAAAAGAGTTAATCCAAATTAAGTGTTAATCAGGGATTTTAATTAATAAAGAGTTTCAAAAAGCAGTTGCGGTTGCCGTAACGGTTGCAGTTGCGGAGTGTAAAGGTCGTAGAGTAACGGTTGTGGTAGTTGGAACCGTGAATTTTTTAATTTTTCACACAATTTGAAAAAAACTTACCGATACGCATAATTTTTTTTTTCAAAATAGAATTTATAAGGGTTTAAAATAGATTTTGATCAATTTTTGTTAGTTTTTAAATATAATCCAATATATTTCATATTTTTAAATCACTATAAAAGGATCATTTTACATTTTATTTCAATAGTTAATGACTTTAAGAATAATTGATTTTAAATGTTTATAAAATTATTTTTGACCAATACCTGAACTAACTAAATAAAAAATATTTACAATTATTAAATGAAATGATTATAAAAAAAAATTGTGCCATAAACAAAAATTATTTTTGAGCTAATGATTTGTTTTAAAAGACATTTTTTTAGACAACACTTTACAGCTAACTAAATAAAATTATTTACAATTAAGCATTAAATGAAATGATTATAAAAATAAAAATTGTGCCACATTTTTTAGACAACACATTATAGTAACAAAATAAATTATATTTACAATTAAATATTAAATGAAATGATTATAAAAATAAATACAACCACTGTTTATATATTTTTTATTTTACATGCTAATGTAATGAGATAAAAATTAAAAAATAAATTATAAAGAAAAAAAATTCATACAAGATTTTTTCTTTGGACTTCAATCACTTGAGTATTCGTTCTTTTTTTGTAAGATTATTTTTTTTTGGGGGGGGAGGGGAAGGAACCTATTCAGAATATTGTAACGATGTGTAACAGGCCATTACGGTACCGCAACAGCCATTACGTAACACCGAAACAGTAGTTACACATGTGAATTTCTGTTGCACCGCAAAAGCGAGTGTAACAGGTAGCGCTTACCACCGCAACCGTTACACAACACCATTTTTTGAAACCATGAGCTAATTAATGAGATTACTGCAATTAAGAGTTAATTGTGATATAACTTGTTCATTTTAACGTACTTATAAAAAAAAAAAAACATCTTCGATAGAAGATAAATTGAGAGAATCGATTGAGATAGTTTGGTCACATTCAACGGAGACCAACAGAAGCAGTAGTGAAGAGATGCGATACTGTAACGGTAGAGGGGAGCGTTAGGGGACGGGGTAGGCCTAGATTAACGTTGGCTAACATTGTAAATAGAGATATGGATCTACTTAATTTAACTAACGAAATGGCCTTTGATAAGGCCACACGGAGCAGAAGGATTCATGTAGCCGACCTCATTTGATGGGACTTAAGGCTTGGTTTGGTTTGGTTAGGCTTGGTTTGGTTTGGTTTGGTTTGGTTTGTTATAAGATCAGGAAGATCATCAATCCTTGTGGGACAAGATAGACTTGGTCCTCAAATATGAGAGCTATTATAAGAGCTAGCACTCCAGAGATTGACATCTACCTCTCATTGTCTCTCTAGAATACTTGTGAGCTTGGCAATGCCCTTGTTATAAGACTTTTAGAGATCGGATGCTTGAACTACTTTTGAATTGGAGTGAACTCAAAAATCAAGCAAGGAATTGAATTTTGTGTTTGAGGTATTGTTCAAACTATTTCTATGGATGTTTGTATCTAATGTTTTCATATATATCACAAATATATCATGGGGATTGAGAATCAAAATAAATTTTAAATTCCTTTATGCCTAGCCTAGGTACGCAATTTCCAACAGCTACTCCATGCTTGTATTTGGATGGAGTAACATAGGCAATCTTTTGAAGGACTGGAATTGCCTGATCTGGCATTAAAACATGCTGATGTGAGATCCCCATATTTGGTTAGCAGGGATTAGGGAAAATCCTTCTTCCATATTGATTTTTCTGTTTAGAATTTGGGTGGAATGAGTCTACAGCCGACAGGCTTGTTTTGCTTGCTAATATACATCTACATCCTATCCTATGTACATTGTTGCACCCATTTGATGCATTTTCCTGACAGAACATTACTTATTAAAGAAGTCAAGAAAAAGAAAAAGTATCTACCTTGAGTGAGAACAGCCACTCTAACTGTCTGTCCAGTTCCCTTGGGTAAATTCACCTATCATGAAAGAATTAGAACAATAGCAGAAACTAATTGTAGTCCATGAGATTGCTACCATATTTCTCGTTACAATTAATCAAATGCAGGGAAAACTCACTGTTGCCATCAGCTGTTGATCATTGTATTTTGGGTCAATGTTGAGACGGAAATGAGCTTCAGCTGTTTCGACAAACTTTGTGCTCGCCATTTGCTTGAGCAATGATATTGCTGTTTTTAAGTCATACTCTTTCTTGTTTTCCCTCAATTTTTGAATTTCCAAGAATCTATTAGACCTCCTCTAATAATCCCAACAAAAGGAGGATAAGGAGTAAGTTAAAAACGAAGCAACAACATGAATGTGAAAGTAGGAGACAGGAATGTGAAAGTATGGGGGTAGACAACTTAAACAAACAAAAGAGGAGACAAGACCAGCAACCACAGTAACAAATATCACGTTCAGAATTCATGCAAAGCAAATTTATGATTTAAAAAGGCAATATATGTCAAGAATTTTTAAACGTGAGGTCTCCTAGCTCTTGTTCTATAACAATTTACAATTTATAATAATTTAAAACACAAGGGCTTTTAATCATTTTGAATAATTTGAGAATTCAGATAAAATTGCAGAATTATTGTTAATATTCAAGACCCGATTATATAAAAGGCATTCTTCTCAAATGAGCATGAACTATGACATAAAAAGGTGTTCTTAAAACTTGAGAATGAACTAATACTCTACTGCAACCACAACCTGCATAGCCAAAACTTAAAATAAATAAATAAATAAAAGGCAAAACCACTAGATATAGCCAAAGTTTGTAGATAATCAAAAGATGAAGAAATGAAGAAACAAAAATATGACATACAGTCTTTTTCAGATGCTACAGTGGAGGATTCTAAGGGATTGAAGTGCTCATCATTAAGATAAGACTCAAGCAAAAACAAGTAAATAAATGACTATAATACACCCACAATACATGGTTTCAAACTTTGTGCTTGCCATTTGCTTGAACAATGATATTGCTGTTTTTAAGTCATACTCTTTCTTGTTTTCCCTCAATTTTTGAATTTCCAAGAATCTCTTAGACCTTCTCTAATAATCCCAACAAAAGGAGGATAAGGAGTAAGTTAAAAATGCAGTAACAACATGAATGTGCAAGTAGGAGACAGGAATGTGAAAGTATGGGGGTAGACAACTTAAACAAACCAAAGAGGAGACAAGACCCGCAACCACAGTAACAAATATCACGTTCAGAATTCATGCAAAGCAAATTTATGATTTAAAAAGGCAATATATGTCAAGAATTTTTAAACGTGAGGTCTCCTAGCTCTTGTTCTATAACAATTTACAATTTATAATAATTTAAAACACAAGGGCTTTTAATCATTTTGAATAATTTGAGAATTCAGATAAAATTGCATAATTATTGTTAATATTCAAGACCCGATTTTGTAAAAGGCATTCTTCTCAAATGAGCATGAACTATGACATGAAAAGGTGTTCTCAAAACTTGAGAATGAACTAATACTCTACTGCAACCACAACCTGTATAGCCCAAACTTAAAAAAATAAATAAATAAAGGGCAAAACCACTAGATATAGCCAAAGTTTGTAGATAATCAAAATATGAAGAAATGAAGAAACAAAAATATGACATAGTGTTTTTCAAATCCTACAATGGAGGATTCTAAGGGATTGAAGTGCTTAAGTCATCATTAAGCTAAAACTCAAGCAAAATAAATGACTATAATTCACCCACAATACATGGCTTCAATCTCTCATATTGGTTTCCTATAACTAAACTAAACAGAAATCAAACAGAATTCAATATGTAATTCACCACACACATCCACAATCTAATTAAAGCAGATCTTAATTAGCACAATCAATCCCCAACTCAAGTATAAGATTCTTGAAACTAAAAATTTTACAATCACAGTTAAAATAAATGTGAAAATCAAAGAAACCCAATAAATAAAATCACTAATGTGTCCACAATTGAAGAGAAAGGGAAATAAGGAATGAGATTACACATACTCTGTCACTGTTACGAGGCAATGCAGCTTTGCCTTTCTTGGTCTTAGTTGGGGTAACAACAACACCCTCTTGGAGTTGTTCAGTTTCTTCTGCTAGCTCTGCTTCAGCAGCCAAAGCGGCCACAACAACTGGGAATTGGGAGAAGAAACATCAATCCAATTGTTGGATTTTCTGTGTGTGAAATGTAAGACAAGTGGGAAGAGAGAGAAAGTGTTGGAGAAGTTGAAGAAGCGTGGTTTGGGTTTGAAGGAGAGAGAGGGGGAGAGGTGTTGGGGAAGAAGAGAGGAAGCGGCCATGGGATAGCATGAGAGTGGAGGGAGTTGCAGAGGAGGCCATCTTTGTTAGTCCAACTACTTCCTCTCTCCGTCTCTCTTAAAAGATGATAACGCTAGGGATAGGTTGTGCACGCATAATTTTTTTCTATAATTAAATACCCTTATGAGAATTTTTTATTAGAAAATTTATTAATAAATCCTAGGACTTATCGGTCATTTAGTTCTGTAAATATTTTTATAGTTTATATGTCTTATTTTACATTAAAATCTCTCAAATAATATACACCCACATTTGAAAACGTAATAAGATAATAGTACATATATTAAGGGTTGGTTTGGAATATTCTAAAAAAGTATATTTTTTGGCTTATTGACTTATATGGGTTGGGTTTGGGTTGAGTTTAATGTGATGTGTTAGAAAGGTGATGTAATTTAAATAAGATGATGTGACTTAAATAGGATAGCGACTTTTTAACTTTTTGTATTATTTAGTAGATGCCAAACTTGGCCTAAATAATGTCTCATTATCACATTTTAAAAATGACACATTTGTCAAAAAGTTTACTAAAATAATAGTACATAAATATCTCATTGTCACATTTTGAAAAGAATGACATATGTGGAAAAAGTTTAATAAGACAATAGTAGACACATTGAAATGATATTCCATTGTCACATTTTAAGAATAGTATATTTGATAAAAGTTTAATAAGAAAATAATGCACAAATGTTCCATTATTACATTATAAGAAAAATGACATATTTAACAAAAGTTTAATAAGACAAATAATGTGTACATTATAATGATGTCACATTGTCACATTTTAAAAATGACACATTTGAGAAAAATTTAATAAGACAATAGTACACAAATAAAGCCTATTCACATTTGGAATATTCAAAAAATATAGTGAAAGGATCTCATGGTGTACCTTTTCAAATTCAATGGAACTTAATAGTTTATAAGAAAATTTGGTACATACTTTTTGGGATGACACTCTGAATAAATTTCTCCTTCCTTTTTTTAATATAATCAATTAAAAAAATAAAAAGTTTTAATTTTTTTTCATAATTTAGTATTTTTTTAAAAAAAAAATTAGATGCACCTAACAAGTAAATTTTTGTGAAAAAATTTTTAAAAAAAACTGTTACCCAAAAGACAACCTAAGAGGGGGGTGAATTAGGTTTTTACAATTAAAATTAATAACACCCTAATAAAAATTATGACTAGCACAATAGATAAATATAATTAATGAAATAAAAAAAATTAAAACAAGTGTCTTAACAACTATGTCAATTAATGATTTTAGCACAGTAAAAATGTGAAATATAACTATGGTAATTTAAAATAAAATAAAAAGATAAGTGAGAGAGATGCAAACAAATTTATAGTGGTTCGGTTTCAACTCGGCCTGCGTCCACTCCTCAAGCTTTACTTGAGATTTTCCACTATCTTCTAGCTTCACAGGGGTGCTAGCAACCTCTTTACAAATGGAGCAATCCTCCACGGATTGTACACAGGCTTTACAATTGCAAACCCTTGCAAATCTTAGGTGATTCACAATCACTCTCAAGATTTCAAGAACACAGTGTTTGCAACACTTTTACAAGATGAAATGGTATTTTTACTTTCAAATAAAACTTACAATAAATATCTCTCAAAGATAGATATATAAAATGAAGCTTTGATTTTTTTGTAAACCTCACACAGGAAAGATGGGCCTAAAGTTATAAGGCTCAGTGTATAATTTCTGAGAATAGATGTGAGTGATTATAGATCAAAGAATATTTTCAAATTTTTTTTGTTACTAGTTTTATATTAGAGGCTTTGGTATATATAATGAAAATTATAGTCGTTTATAGCCGTTATAGTCATCATTACTAATTTGAATATCTTCCACTTGAACCTTTTGAACCTTTTGACCTATTCATTTGAATTTATAGCCGTTGTACTCCATCATTACTAATTTGAATATCTTCCACTTGAACCTTTTGAATCTTTTGAACTATTCATTTGAATTTATAGCCGTTGTAACTCTATCATTACTAATTTGAATATCTTTCTCTCCATCATTACAAATTTGAATATCTTTCACTTGAATCTTTTGAACCTTTTGAACTATTCATTTGAATTTATAGCCGGTGTAACTCCATCATTACTAATTTGAATATCTTTCCTTCCATCATTACAAATTTGAATATTTTCCACTTGAATCTTTTGAACCTTCTGAACTATTCATTTGAATTTATAGTCGTCGTAACTTCATCATTACTAATTTGAATATATTTCCCTCCATCATTACAAATTTGAATATCTTCCATTTGAATCTTTTGAACCTTTTGAATTCCTGATTTAATCAAATATTAAATACATTCTAACAACATTTAGGATAAATATTTAGGTGAGAAATAATGGGACAAAATAAATTTTGATTCTATTTTTCTCTTTCAAATAAATTAAAACATAATTAAATAAATTATCAAAATAAATTTTGGATTTAAAATATAATTAAATAAATCATCAAAATAAATTTGGGATTTAAAATATAATTAAATAAATCATCAAAATAAATTTTGGATTCTATTTTTCTTTTTCAAATAAATTAAAACATAATTAAATAAATCATCAAAATAAATAAGTCTAACAATCTCCCCCTTTTGATGATGGCACACAATGATGTTTTGATTTGATTTGGGAGTAAGAAAGGCTCCCCCTCAAGTCCTGCACCCTGAATTCATTTCTAAATACATAGGTTAGCACATGTATAATAAATAAGTTTTAATTAGAGACATGATATGAAACTAAGATATCAAACTATAAATACATAACATTATATTAGTTTGAAAATAATACCATAATACATATAAATACATAACATCAGATTAGTTTGAAAATAATACCATAATACATAACATCATATAATTTCTCCCCCTGTGACATTATCAAAAGGAAATCATGGGTCAGAATCTAGAGGAAAAGAAGGAAAATGATAGTGATAAATGGCATCAAAAATATATATATAGCAAAAATAGATATATATATCAATCAACGGTCAATCAACAAATATATATATATATATATATATTACATAGCTATACAATATATAGACAGATATGCATACACATACAACTCTCTCGCGTCTCTCTCGTTTTTTGCAAAACGCGTTCGACACACAGCCTCACTTTTGCGTCATTGGCCGACAAAAGCAGGCTTTCCTCGATTGCCGCTCGCCTCGGCTATCTCACCCTCCTTGTCTTCTTCTCTTCAGCCTTCTTCTTAATCACACTCGTCTGCGTCTTCTTCTTCACCTCACTCTCTTTTATTTCTCTACAACTCATTTCTTTTACACCTCGTACCTCGAAACCATGGCTTCCTCATCCCGTCCCCTCACTCTATTTTCGGACCTGAACGATCCCATAAGCTCTGCTGGACCAAGTGCCCGTACTCTTACTCTTCCTGTTATTCATCTTCCTAACCTTCCTATGATGTCGATTGAGCAAACCATGGCAGCTCAATCTGACATAGAAGCCAATCATTTCACACTAACGTCCTGTATGGAGACGGTGACAGCAATCACAAAATTGGCTCACCGATTACAGAACATGACGAGTAAGCTCCAGCAGGTCAACGCCCAACTCTTGCTACTTCAGCGCATGTACAAGGATGCACGAGCAGAAATAGGCGCACTAAAGGCCGAAAATAAAGAGCTTAAACGGAAGACCACCTCCATGGCCCGATTTTGAACAACGTCGTTCTTGGCCTTTGATAGTCAGCGGGGAGTCGTCACTCTCGACGAAAGTACGAGGGCAGGGGCGTCAAGGGTCGCCCAAGGTGATAAAAAGAAGAAGAAAACAGTGGAAGAGGCGAGTAAGTGAGGTCGGCGTATGGCCTGAAAAAAATGAAAGGTTGTTTTATTTTATTTTATTTTATTTTTGTGTATTTTGGTTTTGTTTTGTTTTTGTTTTTGTTTTTTTTTTTTTTTGTTTTTGTATTTTTTTTTGTTGAAATATGTTTAGTTTGATCGGCGTATGGCCGTAAAAAAATGAAGGGTGCTTGTTTTTTTTATGTAAATAGTTGTATTTTGATTTGTTTTTGTTTTTAGGTTTAAGTACTAAAAAATAAAATTAAAAATCAGAAAAAAATAAGAAAATTAAGCCCAAACAAAAAATAACAATGAGAAAAAAAATAAAAGAAATGAAGCCTAATAGCAAAATAAAGTAAAATAAAATAATACCAGCAGAAATTAAACTTAATGGGACATTGGTGTTGTTAGAATGGTAATGCAAATAAAATACCATGAGGGTTTAAAAAAAAATCAATGTATGCAAAGTTAATTTTACCTCAAGATGCAGAACCCAAAAAAAATATTACATAGTTTAAAACTAATCAAGTTTAAATTCTTCCCCATGTTTCATTTGGCAAAATCAATAGGAGATATAAACAATGAAAGCTCATAACTGAAATGTTCTCCTCAATAATATCAAATAGGATGCCAAATGTTACCAATAAGGATGCCAAAATGATACCAATATGCAATCCAGAAGATTTAACAATCATAGCTCATATATTATGTAGAATACCAAATATTGCTTATAATAGGTTAAACTAAATATAATCTCATGGAGCTAATGTAATTCAAAAAAAATGAAGCATGTTCAAGGTATAGCAATCCATATGCCAAGAAAAATCATGAATTTCAATATGTACCACACATTTAAGCATAGGCATGATTTTTAGGTAAGAGTATCATCAAATAGTATACATTGCAAATCATATGAAGCATAATCAATCTTTTTCATATCAAAGTAATAACAGTAGTAGCTCAAGAGATATAAGATAGAATTTTTACCTCAAAAGCTTAAGAGAGTATATGAGGCATACGTTAGGTTCAAGAGATGGAAGCTTTTCAATCTTCAATTTTCTTTCATGAGGAGTTCATCTCAAAAGAGTTTAACAAGTATGTTAGCAAAATGATTTCTCCCCCTAAGTTGGTGCTACCCTTTTTTAATGTGATTTGTGTAAATATAGCATTCATAGAACAATCACTGTTACTCAATAAAAATAGAGCACAAATCACTTCTTATCACAAACTCAAAAGGTGTAAAATAATTCAATGATC